TACAGACTTGACATTTAATATGGAATATTTCAGTTTTAAAGGTATACCTAGGTCAAAATGCGTTCTTTTTTTTTTAAAAATAAGATTTCATATAAGACATCTGTCTGGAGAAGTGTGAAGTCAGGTGTGTCGCTGCCAATTAACTGACTACCAAGTCTGTTGCACTGCTGCCTTGTGTAATATGCAGTGATTTAATTGGGCAGTGCTCCTTTGGGCTAGTCAAAGCTTGGCTTTGGCGAAGGATGGTTCTGTCAATAAAGTATCCATATGTCGGCAAATACTGCATAGAAGAATTTGAAATTTTGCATACAAGCGGTCGGTTTTGCAGTGCGTAAAATGAGTTAAGCAGCGTTTTACAAAACTGTTAAGCTGTGCCAGAATGGCGCGAAAAACACAGACATTGCCAGACAGATTATTGTGTCAAACGGAACGGTCTACACAGTTTTATAGAGTTATGCTCAGTTTGAGGCACTACACAGAGACCAAGCCCAATGCATCGACGTCTTACCACCAGGGTATAGGACTCACTGTCCTTCAGGATATGCTGCTGCAATTAAACCAATACCACCCAGTCCGTTTTAAATGAGGGACAAATTGTCACCAAAACTTGTTTTTCAAGGCTCTTAGCGAACACCAAACTGATTTCAGCAGGTTAGGATTCCAGGCGACCTCTGAGGAAGCCACTGTAAACAGCAAAGCAGCTTGGGGACAGCGCGCTGTGCCGAAGGTTCNTTTTTTAAAAAAAATATTATATATTAATATCAAATATATATATATATATATATATATATATATATATATATATATATATATATATATATATATATATATATATATATATAACTCATTTGTGCCAGATGGAAATGTTTTAAAATTATCATCATGAGATTTAAGTTCGGACTCCTCGAATCTTCAAAAACAAATGTAATTAATTAATTTCACTTCATTAAACAGTCAGCTTCAAAAGAAGTAGATTGTTTGACATGTAACAATCATAAACATTGTTACGTGGCAGTGTATCTATATGTCTAACATTGTTTATAATTGTTACATGTCAACAGCAGTTCATGAATGTTTCAATCACTTGCAGGCAATTTATTCTGCATTTAGTATATCTGTTCCGTTGAAAAATTCTTAATGCAAAATGTTTTAAGTCTAAACTAAATAATTAGACAGAAACAGAAACTTAACAGCTCAAAGACATTCTATACGAAACAGACAATTCCTGTTGGAGTGTACAGTTCGGAGATGTTAAATCAATGATCAGCTGCTGGGAACGAGACTACGAAATATCTAGGTGATTTTTGCCTCGTGGCTTGACTTGTGTCTAAAAGAAGTAAATGCTGGATACTGTAGCTGTAAATAAAGCTGTAAACATGCCTCTTTCATTGCCACTTGTTACACACCTCGTGCGCTCTTGCAAAGAAAACGGTCATTCGCAAACGAACCCCGCAGTGAAGGCTGTCGATGTACACGACAGGTCCTCGTAGTGGACACTCCCTCGCCATTTCATGAGAAGACACGTCTCTCGCCCGTTTGTGCCATCAGTGTTATGCCCCGCTCTGCCCGGATTATAGAACACTGAAGTTGGGCTGTTTTTCCAAATGCATCTGTTGTTAATACACTCTGCGTCACACCAATAACCGGAATCTGAAATAAAATTTACCAGAGCAAATGTCTTTAGAAGATAATATTTGAGAGAAGTTTAAGTTCCCTAGTTCAGACTGTAGTGAACAAGTCAGTGTTTGTGCTCTATCATTTGTTAGAGTTGTTATCTCGTGTCAGTTTGAAAATATGCTACTATGCATTACCTATACTCTCTGACCACAGGGGGCGCTAGTCTGTCACAAAAATGTTGCAAGCGTGATTTTGTGTAGTATACTAGTCTGCCCCTAATATCAGAGGGTATAATGTTTCAGTAGGCAGAAAATCAACAAAATTTCCGTCGGGTAACACATTCAAAGTATTTCATTGACTTTTTTACTTAACTGTCTTAAAACATCGAATTGTCTTTCAACAGGCAGTTCTGTTATTCACAATTCAGTACGCACGTATCGCTTGATAACTGTCAAATTAAAAGTACCACGGTTTCAAATTATTGCGTTTTGACAGACTGCTGGTACACAGAAGAAGCCATGCGTTTTCTTATTTCAGAGTATAATTTCATGCATAAGGTGACCATAAGTATTGTCCTTACATACCGTATGTCTTAGCTCAGCTAGAACTACTAGTACGCATGCTCTAGGTACATGTAAGAAAGTGGTGCAAGAATAAGATGCGTCAGACATGCTAGACGGACAAGCATCTCTTTGACGCATTTTTAATTATTCATAGATCGTTTGCGAAAGTACTATCACAAAAAATAAACAACATTGCACCTACATTCAACTTGAGGTATGTTAGCCTCTATGAAGTTAAACTCCTCAGCGCTGTTCACCGCCACCAGGTTTTTCCCCATAAGTTGACAGCATGCCTGCGCCATCACCTGATTTCTACCCGTCATTGGGTCACCAAAATAGTACTCTTTGTCTTGGTGCTTAGTATAGCGGCCCGTACATCCTGGTAATGGATTGATCAGGAACATAAAATATATAACTGGTAAATTTGAAAATGTAAAAGCCTTCTCAACATCAAATTAAATCATAAATCATAAATCATAAATCAAACTAAATCATAAATTAAAATCATAGAAATAATTATGCTTTCCTCAACACTCTCTTAATGATCAAATTCTACCATAAAATTATTTATCACTCAAAAGATACGGTGATTAAAATAATGACGATAATTATTTCAAGCATACCTTTAAGAATGCCTTTTAGTTTATCCAAATCCGTCACAGTTTTTGCAAATTGTTGTAACGATGTTTGAAGTTGCTGAACCTGGCGTTGAAGCTCTGTCACCTGGTCAGAAAGTGCCACCTTGTCCGCTTGGAGAGAAGAAACAGATTGGATTCCATTCTTAACGTTTTGTTTTACGTCCTGAATAATCAAATCAAAGTTGTCGTCTGAGCGATGTAAATCTTGTACTTCAGCTGTTAAATTCTCGTCCTTCATTCTGGCAGTGTTCACCTCGCGGCTTAAGACGCCGAGCCAAGCTTTGACCCACGCTGCTATACCGTCGGCACTGATGTAATTCTTAACGCTTTGCGTTGGAAGAGGGTAGCTTGAATTCTTCACTGCACCCTGTGTTTTTAAAGCACTCAAAATTACGTAAAATGAAACAAAAGATATAGTCTTCATCGTTCATTAAAATACGCTTGCGACCGAACACAAAACGATCTTGTTTTTTAGCAATGAGTTGGACAGAAGTGAGAACTGATGATAGTTATGAGGGTACGTTATATCATGGTCCCACGATCCCTGTATGCCCTGTTTGGCCTTTGATCATATTTAATCAAACTCTAGATATGGTTCTTGAAAATGTAAATATGTAAGTGAAATAAAGTCAAATAATGCAGTGTGATAAAAAGTACAGTATATTTTTACAGCATAGGGCTACATTTAAAAATTGCTGTAGAAGGCATAAATTTGCAAAGTACACTTAAAATTGTCCGCCATTATAATGTCATTTTTGTCATTACATGTAAAACCAACTTTAAAACACTCAAGATACGCTCAAGATACATGTAGCCCAAATCTCGCGTTTTATGGTAAAATCGGGCGAGATTCCGCTGAATTTGGTGGAGAATCGTGTCAGACATAATGCCAGACTCGCGTATGCGTTACGGTAGTAAATAAAAGCTGATAGAGTAGTTTAGGTTATACCCCCCTCCTCCTGGCGTTGAGTAGAATAGAAAAAAGCAGGTGATATTACGAGTACGTTGGAAACAATAGGAAGCTTGTTAAACTGTTGAACTGATTGCATTCAGCGAGAATCCCCGCGGAGTTGGACTGATCCATGTAGAACGATATTTTCATAGGGAATGAGCCCAGTTTTGTGAAAGACTATAGAGGAATCTGGGTTGAGAGGGCACTGTGGGTTGAAATGTTAATTAATCTCCAATGGTAACTTATCTCGGAAGTTGACATTTGGATTGTCTTCCTCCCCTGTATAAGTTCAACCGCAATCCCGTCAACTCATTGTTAATATTTTATAAGTACAAGGGCTATGAATGACAAAACAGATCAATGCACAAACAACTAAGACGATATGAATGATTCAGTTACATCGATATATAATTTTAAAGATGTAAAATTGTATGAGATCAACACTGGTCAACACATATTTCTACATCGAGCGCCGTTTCATGCTTTCCACAATACTGTTGCACCTGTGTAATTAATCACATTGTCCGTTGCACTAACCAATTGATTCATATTCTATAATGATTATTTGGATATCCAAAATATGTATTCCTACAACAAAGGGTCGTTTCAGATAACAGAGGAATGGCTTGCGGATTCAGAACAGCGAACTAAGAGATCCGCGGATAAAATAAGGCCAACCCACTTAAATGCTTGTTGCGCAATTCCTGTATGGAATCTTTTCAGTGTCTAATCGGGAATTAAGCAGCATACTCTTTAGTGGGTCACCATATTTGATCCGTGGATCTGTTAGTCCCCTGTTCTGAATGCGCTCTTAGACCACATTTGAGCAGAAAAAAAAACTTGCCGCGCCGTGCGCTAATCCGTGTGGAGTCACGAAGCGTAGAAACCGTTTTACGCTGCCTTTTAGATTCTTTGTAAAAGGCAGCATAGTCTTCCCAGCGTCTGAGAAGACGGGCTTTAAGAGAGAGAGAGAGAGAGAGAGAGTTGCATATATGCACCTGGGATGAACTTAGTGTTTAATGTCTGCCGCATTTCATTATAAAAATGCAGTATGACCCTTTCGCAGCTAGCAAAATGATACGCTATTTTTGGTAAAGTTAATCTCATTGAATTTCAGCAGCATGTTCAATATTGAAATTAAATATTGAAATTAAATATTGAAATTTAAAAGTTTTTATGTTCTTTAGTAAGCAAGTCTGTCCAGGTGAATCTGAAAGTTGCATTTTAGAGATAAAAGGAAGATTAAGGTAAATTTTAACATCAACGTGCATGAATGAAATAAATTTTATTTTTCGCGTTTATATTTCACCAGGTGTTCACTTGTAACTACATTCAAAAACATAAACATATTTTAAATTTGTTATTTTTTCACATTCCTTAGTGACATCGATATCTTCATTTCATCTTTATTTTCATATCCCATTTTTTATATATAGCAGTGTATATTTCAAAAACAAAGCCTGAATCGTGGCAAAATTGGGCAAACGCTGGCGTTTCGTGGTATCTAAAATCAGTCAAATAAAACCGCTCTGTATTTGCAGGGTTCAACAGCTCACCGCCCTCCTCACCTCTCCATAATGTTCGGGGGTTTATTTCAACTTTTCGAAAGCATTTAATCTATGTCCGTTATACAAAATCAAACATTAATACCAAGTAAGAAAATGACAGGAAAAAACACAAATAATGTGATATGAAAATATTTTTCAATGGATATATCCTTAAGTCATTCTAGCACATGTGGCCATAAACACTATTATAAGTTGTTACATGCAATGTGCAATGTCGTGCAATGTCGTGCACAGGGAGGGACGCAAAGTCACGCGCATCCCTGCCCCTAAGCTTTGGAAGCACAGTTGCCCCATTGTCCCATTCTTCCTCCCTCTCTCCCCCCCCCCNTGAACATGTATTTTTCTTTGTATTTTCCAGAAGGAAAAGTCGAGAAGTAAAAGGGAACTTCAAAACAAGATGTGAAGAGTGTCCATGGGATTATATGTTTAATGAATGTATGGGTGTACTATAAAAGACACATAAGACCTACAAATTTTGAGGAAATTTATTTTATTTGGCCTAGCAAGTGCAGGTCAGAACGATAATTGAAGGTCCGGCAGTGCTTGATATTGATTTTTGAACGTTTTATGTTTATTAAAGCCTTAATTTTTTTTCCTTTAGGTGAGACGAGCCTCACTCTGGAAGACCTCAGCCCCCGAGTTGATTTTTTTTAATGACAAAATATGTGGGAAATCCTATTTTATAATGTTGTGTTATATTAATGATATCATTTGTTTTTCCTTTAGATGAGATGCCTGATTATCTATAGATGCTTAATATTATATATTGAATGGGTATTGTTTTTGTCGGAATCGGTTTCTTTGATTTCGGATTCAGTGTCGGTGTGTCCTTATTGCAATCTTTTGCATGGGTTTTGGTGGCAAGGGTCTCTTTCAGCGTCAAGGTCTGCGATACTGTAACACTGGATCAGGGTTCAGCTCTACGATACGTGACGTCCCTGGCAGGAAAAGACTGCCACAACCACACCACAAGACCCTGGAACAGTCTGGATAACAAACTTTTCTAAATCTGCGAAAAAGTGCATATTACAGAAGAAGAGTCGAGCAGTCCGGTGACTAATCCGGTTACTCCGCCAGGTCTTCCTGGTTGAGGTTGGGTGAACTGGACACCCTAACAGAATGAAAAACAAAATCTGTTGAAGATCTGCGTATCATTCCAGAGTATTGTAAAGGACGTGTTATAAGTGGAGCATTCATTAATATGTATACTAGGTTATAAGTGTAATTTGTTTAAAACCAAATGCTTATTGGGATGTAACAATAATTGAATACTTATATTTGACAAAATGTAATTATATGAAGTATCCTATATAAAATTTATAAGGATGGAATGGGGTATAATTTGTACCATTTTAAACGGCGTTATTATCATAATAATTATCATTATTTCATTGTTGTGGTCGTTGTGAGAGTATCTAGTTTCAATATGTTGTTTGATTTTGATCCTCATGAAAAGGTAAAATTTGTTTTGTAGGATTCATGTTTACATATCAAGTATTACAGATTAAATTTAAAGTTTGGCACAACTGTTGAAATGGGTTTAATTAAAAGGATTTTTATATTCTGGGAATACAGGTTGTTCATGTTGATGTCATTTTAAAATAATGTACCATTATTTTTTATAAAGAGGGGAAGGCGTGTGGAATCCTGCATAAATTCCACATTGTGTAGTCATAGTTAATCAACATGTTATTATCTAATTTGCGTCTGTCCTGTATACATTTAAATATTATTTTCTGTAAAGGCCCATAGGTAGGCCTATGCTTGAGACAGATGCATATCACCTGTTAATATTGCACAACAATTAGTATGTAAATAAGTAGCAGCCACATGTACACGTATGTAAATAAGAAGCAGCCACATGTACACATAGATTCCCTGTAGATAATCTGTATATAACTTGAAACGTGTCCATAATAAAGACACTTTTGATCTGAGACTGAAGATGTGAGGTTGTTCTGTTATGCTTCTCTGTGCACGTAAAGTGAAAGACTGAGTCGAATCTGGAGTCATGTCGGAGCCCATAGATTAGTTAATTCGTTAATGGAAATTGATACACGGGAATTCAGTACAGGTATAAATTAAAGTCATTTTAGACGGTTCACAACAGTACGTAATTACATGTATACACAAGTACAGTTAATGTACGCTGCAGGAACAGGAAAATATTTCGGCGTCATTCTTCAAATATCAACTGTACCAGTGAGTCCCTTTTTTGATGCTTTTTAAGTTTCAATACAAGTAAATGACTGTCCCACAGACCAGTTGTACAAATGTTTTTCGATTTTTCTTAAATATTTATGTTTACATGTGTGGTGTATCAAACGTCATCGCATTGAAGGATGAGACCAGCTTGTGACCACCATTGCAGATAAAATCGCAACTACATTGTAGGGCTTCTTATCTGATGCACGTTTGCAGGTTGTAATTGCTCCTTTCGCCCCCGTTATTGTTCTCTCAGAAAAGAAAGGAAGTTGTCTTTGTCTTCAATATGTTTGAGCTTAGGCAGTCCCTTAGTCCCAGGTGCACAGCTTTTAGCCTCTGTTGCATATGATTTTATTTAAACTAAATTAATTGATATACTGATTTTTTCTTAATGCAATTATAAGTAAGCAACATTTAGAATATATATGTAACAATTATTACACTTGATACATCGTAGTGAAATCTATCTTGTCGTCTTGACAAATGTGTGTATATTTGTTTGTGGACCTTTAACAGTGCTGGAGAGGGTACACATTTGCACCCATCTTAGTATCATGAAGAATTTACTTCCTAATCTCTGTAGTGGCGAAATAGCATTGAAATGTAAGTTTTTCTGCTTCTTCCTGTTCTGTTTATTACTCACGCCATTTCCATACAATAAGCTTACATCCAAACAAATCAAAACGGTCATACTATCATTTTTTATTTATTCTCTTCAAATTGAGCGTTGGTTTGTGTTTACACTTGTTTATTTAAGTGAATATGCTGTTAATTGTATTTTCTGCTAAACCCGCTTTATTTATTCCCGTTTAACTGAAGAAGTACAGTGAGTAGATGCTTTGATATTTGAAGTAATAAGAAGCGGTGCAATATTTACCGGACAGCAATTAGCGGCTATTAATGACACTAAATGCACACGCTTTCTGAATAAGACGGTCGCCCCCTGCCAGGTTGAGAGATCGGGACACGCTCTCCTGCCACGCGACTGGCTAAATATCCATTGTTAAACGATCCTCCTACTTCCATTGTTCAAAAAGTGGGCGGTAGGCTTGGTCACGGTGAAGAGTAACCGTGTTCGTAGACACGATTACGGTAGTGAGAACAGATTAAAAAGCCTAGCTGTATGTCACTGGATTATTATTATTAGTGTTGGGTCTGGGGATTGGATGACATGCCTCTTTTTCTGTCAAAGTATGAAGAA